AGAGTTGAGGCTTAAATACCACCACAAGGTTCTTCATTAAACATGTTTAAAAGTAAAAGAAAGGGGTGTGCACCTGTAAATCCCAGCTACTCCGGCATCTGAGGCAGGGGGATCACTTAGGCCCAGGCCAGCATGGACAACAGCAAGATTCCTTTTCCTTAACTGGGATTCAATACGGTACAATCAACTTTTATATAACTGAGTTCAATTTAATTACGTTAGACAAAAACAAAACAAAAAAACTTAGGTTCTCAGGATCTTTTTAAGTTTTAATATCTTCATATCACCTGTTTAAAAAAAAAAACAACAATAAACAAGAGTAGAAAGAGTTGGGATCCTAAAATATAACCAAATAATTCAAATCAACAGTATTTATTACTCATTTAAGCAACTTTATACAGAAATGGCATCATGCAATTTTGTTACAGAGCACATACTCATTCACACCTATTTTTAAACAGCATACTCTTCTATACATTCCCATTCCCACGGAGAATGAAGAATAACTCATTCTATTTTAAGCAATACTTCTGGAGTAATGTCCCTTTAAGACAATGCAACGTATCTAGAAAATTAAGAAGAACTTGTTACATGTTTATTGTAATTCTAGCACACTTACTAAGACACATTGCTGTGATTTCCTTTTCTATCCATTCTGTTTTGTTATGCAATCACTGCTGTTCAATTCAAGAAAAGCCATAAGAAACATTCAAAAGGCACATGTATAATTCTGGAATTCTGTAACTGATATGAGCCCACAGGAGGTATTGGTAATCTCAGGCTTCTCTCACGAGCCCATGACATAGGCCCACAGCTCATCAAAAAGATGGCCTGACTTTTTCCTAACATCTCAATCCCCCCACCCCTGGCCCTCTACTGGAAATTGAGCCCAGTGACATTATCCCACTGAGCTACATCCTCAGTCCTGTTTTTGTTTTGAGACAGGGAATCAATAGCTTGGCCTTAAACTGGGTAATCCTTCTGCCTCAGCTCCCCCACTACCCCCATTCACTGGGATTATAGGCAAGCGCCATCACACACAGCTTTTTTCCAACATTTTGAATGAATGCAGCACATATACTTTACAGGTCACAATTTCTTTAATATATTCCTGTTGAATGAGGGCAAGTCTCTGGCTATGTGGCCGATTATGACATGGTAGATTATGACATGGAAGATATCTCACTTTTATAACTAGTAATCCAATTACTAGCATTTGAAATGCTGAAAAAATGTTTTTAAGACTTTTGAAGTTCTGTTATTATTTTTACAATTCCAGTCATCTTTGATGTGGTTAAGTATGTGTACAAGGGTACAAAGAGAGGTATTAACTACTTTGTCAAGTCTCAGTGTCATCTGGGAATCAGTGATTATTTTTTCTTTGAAACTGCCCAATCTCTGGGAATGCCCTTCTTAGCCCTCCCACTCAGAAAGCTTCCCCTAGGCATGCAGCTTCATCCTGCATTACTGAGGTCAGACCAGTAGGTCGCTTCAGGTGATTTTGTCATTGTGCACCCAGAGAGCAAACTGCTAAGGGAGACACTGCAATTCGGCCTTTTCTTGTCATCATTCCTCAGTATCCATGGGAAGCAATCTTTCTAGAAAGGCTGTTATGTCCAAGATCCCAAAAAAGACAGCATAGAAGAAACCATTACCTGCCAAATGACCATTCCTCACACCTCTCTGGCCCTCTGAGGTTTTCTGCTGGGAAAGTCAGAATGCCAATCACACCCCAGGGAGTGAAGAGGCCAGGCAGGCAGGGAACCACCATGTACTTCAGTGTCACGGATTCAGTTTCCTTCACACCATTCCTATGATTTTCAAAGTTAAAAAAACACTGTTCCACATGATGTGAACAAATGGCTTTTATGACAATTTTTAGGAGGAAAATAACTAAATCTCATTTAGTGTAATCTTCATCTAGAGTCCCCAAATCCCCAGCATTTTATTAAATTTAAAAGTTTCCATAAAGATTCTGGTTAAGAGTTGAGGGAAGCTATTTTGATGTCTGCTGATTAAGAAGTTACACTTCTATAATTAACAAAAAATAATTAACCTTGGTCTGTCCCAGTGTTCTGAGACAATTTCATTAGCTACCAAAAGAATTACGAAAGCACTTTTTTTTACATGTCTCTTGAAAGGCAGCTACTTGGTACAGAATCAAGAATGCATTTTCCTATTTGCAGTGAACACAAAAGGTAGATTTCAAGATAACAGTTGTTATGGAAACTAACTTTGAGGCTACCTAAGAAAACAAGTGCTCAAAGCAAGACAAATTTTCTATTTCAATACTCCTTGTATCAAATCTGGCTGTACAATTTATTTCAGTAAAACAATTCATCAAATATTTTACTGAGTAGCTAGACTCAGTTTGTATACATAGTACATAGCTGGAGAAAAAATAAGCTTCATAAACCCTAATATTCAAGATATAGCTATAAGATAAATTATTTTTTTAATCATATTTTCCTCAATAAACAAAGTAAAAGTAACAAAGGTCTATATAATCTACATTTTAAAAGAAATAACTGCTACATAGTCCTTGATTTCCACCTCCAAGAAGTGAGAAAAGAACAAAGAGTTGTGTTTGATCACTTTATAAACAGCAATCTCCAAAAGTTTTACATTTGACCAAAGAGAACATTAAATAATAGTTTAAAAAAAGTGTGTTTGTGTGTGGGTGTGGCGGGGGTTGGGGGAGAGTTGAGGTTAATCAAGGGCTTGCTTAAAAACTAATCAAGAAAACTAGTTATTTTATTCCAACAACAAATATCAAAATTCTTCAACTATCATTCTTTTAATTGTAAAGATTAAATTACAATTAGAACCAATACAAATATATTCATCATTATAAAAATGAATAATAGTACATCTATTCGATTTCCATAATCAAGCAGCAAATAACTTAATGCTTATATGAAATATAAAGTCTTAACTTTTTATTTGTAGGAAAGGTGGACAAACTTCCCTCCATTAAGATGTCACAAGTAGTTCGTACTAAAGGGGAAAATGCAATTCCTAAAGTCATCTAACGCTTTTCTCATAATTCCCGACAACAATGGAAATCGCTTTCTTAAGTTCTGAAATCTCTATGTACAATGAAAAATGTGCAAGAAAGCTAGATATTTCTCATCTTTTAAGTGTAAAGTAAGTTCTGTAAGTTTTTCCTTCAGAGAAAGCCCATGTGATCAATTACTGAATTTAATCACACAATTCCACTTCAACTAATCTAAAATTGGTGTGCTTTGTCTAAAAAGCTTGAGAAATAAAATTAACTTTGTTTACAGTACTGTAGTAGCTAGTGTAGTGTTTAGAAACACCCCCCTTACACATTAGCATGCCTTCCCTAGGCATCATCTCTGATAGTCCAAAACAATTTATCATAAACACTGTATTCTTGTAGATAAATATATGAAGACGAATCAAAAAGTCTCCTTAAGAGTAAAATATCTTAGCCTTCTATATATAAAATCTGAATCTGAAAGGTAAAATGTACATTATTTTCAAGTATATAAACTATGTGCTAAAATAAAAAAAAAATAAAATGTCCTCTTTAGTTCAAGCCATGTGTCTGTGAGGGATGTGCGCTAGGAGATGGGTCCTCCACGCTGAGGGTCGCTCCTGCCGGCTTCTACAACAAAGCACCAAAACCACCCCAGGTCAGTAAATTGGTCAGCACATTCTAAACTTCAGTTACATAAATACAGCTACTCATCTGAATACGGTATTTCAAAAAATAAATTTCAGAAAAATTTAAATAAACTTACTTGCAAAAATGATATCCTATTCCAAAGAGACAGTCAACAAGAAAAATACAGAACTAATGTTTCTTACATATGATAAGAGAGGTTTTCTAGTATTAGGCAAAGTGATATTAATTTGATCAGCATGGTACTACAAAAAAGACAAAGTATGAGCTGATGGTATTGGAATATGTTTTCAAGAATCAAACAAGCAGCTGTGAGAATGATGCAGCCACCAATGAAAACATGGCTAACATTTATTGGTACTACATATGATCCCATGAGGTACAGACTGGTAGGTCATTATCTCTTTTTATCAGCATAAAGATGTGGAGCTGGTGTTTAAATCCAGGCATTTAAGTGAGAAAAACAGGGATACAAAATCACTAAAGCTCAAAAGGTTTCTGAGGACTGTGTGATACTTCCCTAAACACAGCAGCAGAACCAAACACTTATTCCGGTTCTTTTCTTTGCAAGTTTAAAATTTAGTGGTAAAATAACAAATAACTTTATTAGGGGCTGCAGTTGTGGCTCAGTGGTAGAGCACTTGCCTAGAACATGTTGAGGCATTGGGTTCAATCCTCAGCACCACATAAAAA